GCGCCTGTGAGGTCGTAGGGCCATGAGGTTGAGGAGGGTCGAGGTACTGCGCCCGCCTGCGCGAGGTCGATGTTGCGGAGCACCCACTCGCCCCGGCGGCAGCGCCGTCGTCAGGAGGTAGCGCGGGCCCGGCAGCTGCGTGCGGATCGTGTAGAGGAGGTGCAAGAAAGTCGTTGGCCCTCGCGGGCGTTCTTGGGGTGCTCCCAGTCGACTGTTTTGCCATTTGGTCAGCATGGCTATGCCTCGCTCTTGTCCAGAGGCAGAGGCGCCTTCCATGTCCGCGCCTGGTGGAAACGCTTACTGTCGACGCCGTCGAGCTCGTGCTGCTCGACGAAGGCGCGGATCGCCCGGGCGAATGTCTCGCGGGCCTGCGGGTTGGCTGCCATGGCGGGGAACTGCGCGCTGCCGGTGCCGCCGCCGATGGACACGAGCGTCTTGAGGTGCGGGTTGGAGCGCTTCAGCTTGGCGAGGGCCGCGAGGCAGCCCTTCTCGCCGTCGGCCTCGACGCCTGTATCGGCCCACTCGTCAATAGCCTTGATGGACGTCAGCCCGTCATCGTCATCGTCATCATCGTGTTTGCTGCATCAATAGAGCAGCGTGGGTCAACGTACTCGGAGGCTGCCATCTTCATTGATGCTGTTCAACCGGGTCAGCATGTGAAGCATCACAAGAGGAAAGAAGTGAAAATTGTACCCGACAAACGAGTAGAGAACATGGCTCGCCTGGGTCACGTTCAACGATGACGGGGGCTTGCCCTTGTAGATGATCCACGAGGGGTAGTACACGGCGTTGGCGAAGCCTCCCGACATGGTGATTTTTTTCTCTTTTCTCGTCGCGCCGATAGAATGACGTTATTTTCAAGATGTACAAACCCTCGACTGCTCACGTTGGATGGAGACGGGTAGGGCTGTCGTCTGTCTTTTTCAGTCGTGGTATGGTAGGCGGGGGTGTTTGAGTGTGCGGCTCGGCGGCCACGCAAGCCATCGTGGCGGACCATTCAGCGCGGCTACCACTGCTGCACGTCGCTCGTGTCGGTGGATCAGGGGGAGGCGCAGTGTGGCTGGCATTGACACTGTATATCAGCTTGGGCCAAAATTTCCAAGGCACGCTTGTCTTGGAACAAGCATGGTTGTGATACAATGCTGTTGCTGATCGCTGCTGGGAGCCAAGCAGATCCACGGATCGGTCAATTTCAAGGAGAAAACGAAAAAGAAGAAAAAGGAGCTGTCAAGATGCTCAGAAGACGCCTTGATTAGGCATTCTGCCGGTTTCCGTCCAAGTCGAACTAACGTGGCGGTAGGACGGCTTTTCGTTGACCAAAGTGTACTTTGCGACTTCGGCGAAGGATGTTGAAGCAAGATAAGTCTGCCATCTGAGTTGTGCTTGCTGTTCTAACCTCCATTGTGTTTGGCATGCAGTCGAAGAGTACCGCCACTCACGGTAGGAAACACGCATTTGGTGAATGTGAAATCATGGCAGCCCCTTCATCATATCCCGTATCTATTTCTGCTATCTATTTGGGCCATAGAAAGATGCTGGCCAACGCAAAAACTTGAAGGCACAAGACACAAATAGCTCAAACGAGAAAGCAAGCCCGCTGGGGAAATATGCTACTTACCAAAGGCCGTTAGACCAAAGAATGTGTGACAAGTGATGCAGTTTTGCTCCTGCTGGGGAACGAATATTGAGTTTACAGCCCGCCGAGATTATGCAGTATGCGAGGAGAGTGGCGTTCATGAAAGTCCAACTGGTGACCTTTCATCTTACATATTCCAGATAGTATAACAACAACACTGAATCCCATCAATGACGCCCCGGTCTTTTTCTGGAAACACAATTCTTCCACTTCTTGGCTGGCATAGGTAAGTAACCAGAGTTGCCATGGTGCTGGGATGTCATCACGTGCGATGGGCTGATCGCCTGCTGCTGGAAATGCGCAAGACACCATCCCAAGAAGCAGAAGGCCCTTGACCTAGATTTCTAGGTGGGCGAGCTATTTCAGCTCAGGGGATCGGTCATCTAGGACCTTTCTCTCCTGATCACCTGCTTTCGTCATAACGTAGTGATTCATACCTTGGTACCTACGCTGAGCGGGGGTTGATTCCACGGCCACCAAGGTGAAAGGGAGATAAGACCCGCATGGCTCAGGCCTCTGTGCTGGTCGAGGCGGGGACACGCAACACCGATGGGTATGGGCTTTTGCCATTCCTACCAAAGCACATGGATGCCTGGGTAGATAGAGTAAGAAGCCAAAGATTGAATGACGGTGGGCTGGCTATATATAATGAGTTCCGCGTATCACTTCAAATGCCAGATGAGTAACGTGAAGATGCCATGGGGGTGCATAGGCTGGGTTCGGTTCCCAGACTTTCCTTGGGGAATGGTCTTCCAATATGAGTTGTGTTTTGCTCGTCGACTCCCACATACGACCATACCTACTGGAAAACTCGGGATCCCGTCCGCTCTCCCATAGATAAGCCAGTAAGGGTCGGACTAGTAGTTGGGTGGGTGACCACCAGCGAATCCCTGATGTTGTATGTTTTTGTTCTTAGTTTTTGACATTTTGACCCTACTGTCTTGATTTCCACGAGTGTGTTTGTGTTTGTCCATTCTCGGTGGCTGACTGTGGCTGTCTCACTGTGTCGGCGTGTGGTTGGGCAGTCAGCCACCTAGCTTCGGTTCTGCATCTCCTTCCCTGTCTCGCCGACTGCCCGCTACATCTCCTGCAAGCCCTCACACAGCCTGATGCAGCCCGCCGCAATGTAACCCAAATCCGACGTCCGTCTTTTCCCCATCTCCAGTCCGACAGAGAACGAGAGCCTCTGCTTCTAGCATATCAGTTGGATAGCTCTGACGGTAATCCTCCTCAAACGAGTCTCGACCTCCTCGAGTCACCGACGTCACCCACCACCCGAGACAGTCTAGTAGGCCGAAACAAAGGCGGCATTGTCGTCGATCTCCCACAGACTAACAAACTCCAGCAACCACCAGCAGAAAGTCACCTCACCCACCGACCACCTGCTTTTCACTTTCGTTCGGAGGACCCCACAGGACATCCCTTACCCAGCCGGGCTGTTTCGCGGAAAGCCTGCATGTCCAACAGCCTTCTCGACGGGAATCGTTCGGCTCCCGATGCTTGCATCCGTGGCCTTCCCTTGCGTCTCTGCAAGTGTGAGGACCAAGGGGAAATGGCCATGCATTGTCCTCCGCCGAGCAGCCGGTGTCTTGTTTTCAGTCTCACTTTGGCCCACGAGGCTCCAGACAATCCCAAAGATGACTCCGAATAGGAGCTTTCCAGCCTGAGAACCATGGCCTGACCCTCTGGTCTCGGGCCTCAGAGCTTGATCAGACACATGCTCGTTGCAGACGAGCGCCCGGCCCATGAAGATGAAGTGCTGCCGGCGGCCAAACCCAATCTGACCTCACCGACCGCACGACGCCAAGACGGGACTAGAGGCGCTTGTTGGTGTCGTCGAGACGACCACACGCGCGCGGGGGCTGGAACAAGAGGCTGGCCAACGACAGACCACCGCCGCTCCTCTTTCTTTCGGTTCAACAGTGCCAACGTCGTGACCCTCTCAGATCTGACATCAAATGTCCGCCATGTCAGACCACGTTCGTGAAGAGTCCCCTGTGCCTATTACAACGAGAATGACACCCCTTCGAGCCCGGCAGCTGGGATCCCTGACGTCAAAGTCCCGCGATTCACCGCATCCCGCTGCTTGGCAGCCCACGACTCACTACCTCGGATGAGGTCTCGCCCACGTCTCCTGTCTCTGGCGTCTGTCTCTGCCATGTCGACCCTTGTCTTGCGCGGGGAACCAAACCACGCTTTCCATGAGCACATACTACCATCCGGGCAACCATGAAGCACAATGATGTCGACCGCGACCAGCTCTGCGGGTGGCTTTCACCTTCGTCTTGGTGTTAGCCCGACGCGGTTCCTGTGCCTGGTGCCTCTCTAGCGTTGCAAAGTCCAACCTCCTGCTGCAGCAGAGGTTGGGCTCTGGCCGCATGAAGTGTGAGGATGCCCCAACAGTCCTGTCCAGTCCGTCGTCTTCTTAAGGTCGCCGTCCGCATCTCTGCTCGAGTCTTTGCCCCTCTGCGTGCACTTGTACTACTGACTCTCCTTGCTTGATTTCGTCGCGTCTTGCTCGAGTTCACCCGCCGTCGACGTCTTGCAGTGCACATTCACAAGCAAACCTCGCCATGTACACATCAACAGTCCTGGGCCTCCTGGCTCTCACAGCAACAACTCTAACAGCACCCACAGCCCTCCACCTCCGTGACTCGACGTGAGAAATGGCCATGCCCCCCCCCCCTCTTCCAGAACCACAAGACTGACGCCCACCAGCCCTCTCTTCCCATCCAGACATCGCCGCGCCCCAGCCCTCGGCCAGACTCTCTACTCCTGCGTCAACCCGGGCCAGGTAGCACTGACCTACGACGACGGACCCTACACCTTCACGTCGTCGCTCCTCGACGTCCTCGACGAAGAGGGCGTGACAGCGACCTTTTTCCTCACGGGCTCCAACTTTGGCCGCGAAATGACCTCAGACCCCTGGTCCGCCATCGTGCAGCGCACCTACGCCGCCGGCCACCAGATCGCCTCCCACACCTACACCCACCCAGACCTGTCGGCGCTGACGCCCGCCGCGCGCGCATCCGAGATGGCCGCCAACGACGACGCCTTCCGCGCCATCCTCGGCTTCGCGCCGCGCTACATGCGCGCCCCCTTCCTCTCGTGCGACGCCGCCTGCGCCGCCGACATGGCGGCGCTTGGGCTTCCACATTGTCGACGCGAGCATCGACACAAGGACTTTGAGCACAACCAGTACGGCACCGTCCCCGTGGCCGCGGCCACGTTTGACGCCGAGCTCGGCTGGGATCCGGCCGTCGACAGCGCCATTGTGCTGGCGCACGACGTGCACGAGACGACGGTGAGCGTGCTGACGCGGCACATGATTTCCACGCTGCGGGCGAGGGGGTTCCGGGCCGTCACGGTGGGGGAGTGCTTGGGGGATTCGCCGGATGGCTGGTACAAAGCGTAGGACGGCCTTGGGGAGGATGATGCTATGATGGGACGGGATGGTATGGGCGTTTGGGTGGTGGATTGATTTAGTTTTGCGACACGACTTTTTTTTTTTTTACACTACTAATTGATAATATGAGAACATTTGCAACCATCATGCATGTTCGCTATGGAAATCGTGGGCGGCTATCTGTGGGATCATACGATAGACCGACGGGGCATCAGATAGGAGACGAAACGCCGAGTTCGCAACGAATCCAGCGCCACGGCCAGTCTTCGCATCCCGATCAATCAAAGCCTAGTCACAGAGACCAAGCCAGCCAGCTGACACGAGGGCCTCCTTCCCATCAGCACAATACCCCGCAGAGCGGCGGCCATCATTCACGTCGTGCTTCATACCATGGTCCAAGTCAAAGAGTATCGCTGAGGATGTACTACCCAAATGCGCTGCATAAGAAGAAGAAGAAAAAACACCCTTTCCCAGTGGTATCATACACCGCTATCGCTCCTCTCCAGCCCCGGGGGCCACCCCGGCACCCTCGACGCCGGAATACCGCATGAAGAGCTGATCCAAAAAGTGCGAGTGCCGTATCCCGTTCGGCCTCGCCCTGGCAAACGCATCAATGGCCTCCTGCACTTCAAACCCGCACCGGTCGACGAGGTAGCACACCAAGAAATACCCCGTCCGGTTGAAGCCGTAGTGGCAGTGAACGCCGATGACCTGCTTCTTCTCGTCGTCGTCGACCTCTTCCTCCCGACCCTCGCTCGCCAAGCGCTGTGTCTCGCGGAGCTGGTCCACGAGCTGGATGAACATGTCGACCTCGGCGTCGCGCGGGGGCACCTTGGAAACCGTCGCGAACTTGCGGTACGTGATGCCAGCTTCCTGCTCCATCGTCAACGGGTCGTACACGGGCTGGTCGTGGCTGATATCAATGACAGTCCGGATGATGCTGCCCCAGGCCTGGGCGAATTCCGAGGGACTGTGGACATCGTCCGTCTCGCGGAGGGTCTTCATGGCGCGGAATACGGGGGCACCGGGGCGGCCGATGGGGGCCGATACGGGCGCGACCTTCTTCCACTTTTCTAGGTTCTTGACGTCCCACTTGCCCTCGCGGTTCAGGTGCTGCAGCTGCCAGCCGAGATTGAGACGATTCGTCACATTGTCTTGCAAAAACTTGGAGATGACGCCCGACAGAATGCGCACCGTGGCAGGCATGTACAGGAGAGCATGGTTGGCGGGTGCCGGCAGGATGATGGACCTTGAAAGTCTTTGCGGGTGGCGTGGCTGGGCGGGATGCTGCTGGCCTGACCCTCCGTTCGGCGTGGACGGATCGTCTTGCGTACTGTCATCGCGGTTCACCATTCGCCGGTCTCGGTTGAAATCTTCTTCGCGAATATCGTCAATGGTTGCCGGCAGGTGATCGGACGGTTTCGTTGACGTATTCACTGGCGCAGCCGAGTCGGGAAGTTCCTCGTCGCCATCTTCCGATGCCACCTCGGAGGGAGAGGCCCCCTTGCCTGATAGACGCGTTTCGATCTTGGCAACTTCCTTGGCCGATGTGATGGTGTCAGCTTCACCGCCAACGAGGAGGACTGGGATGTTGAGGCCAGCCCAGACATCGAGACCCGGCATGCCACCCTTGGCCGTCCCGCCCTCGAACTCAGGTAACGTTCCCCAGGCCATGCGGCGCCAGACGGGCGTGCGGCTCTGGGTGTTGAAGCGGTCCTGAATCTTGCGCAAGTGAAGGTCAGCGCCTGCGCCAACAAATCGATTGACACTGGCGCTGGTAGGTCCACCCCACCGATCCCACCGTCGCCAGAGGTCGAAGATCCAGCCGGGGATCCATAAAAGTCTCTTGAATAGCACCACCTTGTCCTCTGGAGGCGGGGCGGACACGGGGCAGATTCCCACCAGTGCTACGACATGATCTGAGAGGCGAGTGCGGCCAGGTTTGCTGCGACTCGCGAGACGTGCGCTGAAGGCGGTCCCTAGGCTGTGACCGATAAGGATGACCGTACCCTCCGGATCCTTCTGACGGTGCTCCTCGATGACGACCTCCAGGAGCTCGACGAGGGCCTCGAAGGAGTAGGCCTCCCATGGTGCTGGATCAAACGCTGATCGTCCGCAGCCGGGGAGGTCGACGGCGAGGCACGAGGAGAGGTGCACCAAGCTGGTCAGCAGCGGGTGGAATTGCGCGACGGAACCGCCAAGACCATGGATAAACACGAGCAGGGGTGCCGCTGGTTTGGGGAGCTGATCGACGCGAGGATGTCGTCGATAAAAAGTGCGTATGGACGGATACGTGAAACGAGTGGTGGTATAAGATCTGACGGTAGAGTTGTCTTTGAGAAGCTGGGGGTCCGTCTCATCTGGGTGATGGGGGCTGGAGGCTGGTCCATCGATCCAGCCGGCAACCTCAGGCGACTTTATCGCCATGGCAGCCCCAAAAAAAAACGAAAGAGTGCTGGGTTGAAAGCTGGGTATCGATTCGATAGGAGTGCAACGTGGAGATCACAATAAGTCTGAGATGAAAGTGAAAGGATGCGTATGCAAGGCGATGGCTGCAATGCGGGTCGTCCTGTTTGGGTATCGTTGAGGGTGAGGTGAGTGAGGTGAGTTGAGGCAAGGGATTCGAGGCGCGAGGCGCGCGCTGGCTGGCTGGTGTGGAGATCAGGAGAGGAAAACCTCGTGTTTTGTCCTGCGAGATGCAAGAGCTTGCTGCCAGCTCTCAGGCCTTGATCACAGGGCAGAGGGCGGATCTGGCAAGGGCGTGCGACCCGGATGAGGAGGGAATGCACCAGAGTCACACAGCCCGGCGTGTGATGGATGGGTGGATGCTGCCTCTGGGCTGGCGCCCAAGGCGGCTTGGCCTGTGGCTGGTCGATGAGGGGATATTTAAGGCTCTTGAAGTCGTAAAGCCTTTAAGCGGCAAATTGATAAAGCGCAACGTGGGAAAACCGAGGATTGCTGTGGTTCGTGATTCTTTCTCGCGAGTCGCAGGTCGACAAGGCTGTTGATCCAGTGTCTGAGTCAATCAGAAAAGAGGGACCCTGCAAAAATGCGCCCAGCCCTTTCATGGTCGTTCTTGGCCTTTTCATTTGGGCGTCAACGGCCCCTTCCATTGTCAGGACCAACTCTCGACCAACTGCTCGTCATCTCTGGCCCACTGGTCCCTATGCCTTGATTTGACTGGCTGCCGAGGGCCGCCGGTGAGGGGCGGCCAATGGGGGCGGACGTCGGTCAGGATTGGCTTTACCGAATGACCGACTCTGGACACGGCCATCCCACCGAGTCTTCCTTACCCCTTCGCCCACATCAGTCTCCCGGCACCAGCCATGCTTTGGGGCGTTGACGTCTATTTATTGTGGTCACGTCTCTGTCGTTGAATCTTCATAGACTATAACAACGTCCACGAAGTAGTAGGAGCCCAGGCTCATATGAGGCACTTGATACCCGCCACGCCTGCCCCATACTCTTTCTTCAAGTCTTCTGGAGCCCCAATTCTGCCTTGCGCAACGAAAAGCATGGCCAATATCAACGCTCTGACGCTTCACACCTAGCACATACGACCATACCTATTGGAAAACTTGGGATCCCGTCCGCTCTCCCCTAAATAAGCCAATAAGGGCAGTATCATGGTTAGGAGAAGTTTCAAGACCATAACGGCCCGCTGCATTCACTTGGCTCCCGGATTTTTGGGGCGGTTCTGAATACCCAGCTTTGGCTGGACTGCAACTCGGAGGAGAATCTTATTCTTCCAATTGATGCGCCAACATCTGGACATTTGTCTTCCGAGAGATTTTGAAGCAGAAGGTGAGTAACGCACATGTCTGTCAAAATCCTATTTACTCAGGTTCAACGGATGAATCCTGTCATTGTGCAAACTATACCTATGTTCAGCTAAGTCTAGCCCATCGTAAAGTTCCTCCGGCAAGCTTTTCATTTTGAATCTTATGTAATTTCAACTAGGTGTTCATGATACTTGGTCTTTTGCTGCCAGGTGCTCTTGGGATAAAATCCAGTCTATCTTGATGTGCCGAACGTAGGGAGTCCCAGAAGTAGATTTAGACCGCACTTTATTTCCAGACTTAAATGCTATGAGAACCCTAGAAGAATCCAAATGGTCAAGAATGATGTCCATATGCTCTTTCTCAACCAACTCGGCAGTAGATTTGAAGTCACATCCCACGGCGTCTTGTGTGTGCATTTGCAACACCAGAGCGGTATCCCAATTTGGCTGATGAAGCACACCCGAAGAGTATCAGAAGCCTCCAGGACTTATTTTGAAACTTGTATCGCCCAAACAGAAACGACACAGGAGCCTTCATATGCTAGGAGCCTTCATATGCTCGGAGACTACGATATGGCATGGTTGAGTAACAGACCACGCACTTGCTTGAAATACTCCCAGGAGATGAAAGTCTTGGGGACCTCCATTCATTTCAGTGTGTAATGATCGATTAAAATGTAGCATAACAACGAAGCATCACGCTGAAGCCAGAGTTGAGGTTAGAGCCGGGTTTTCGGAACGTGGTTGCAAAGACTCGCCATGAAGTAACTTCATGTGCTCTTCAAGACGACGGAGATGGTGCACGTACATGTATATAGTAAAAGAAAAGAAATTGGCGAAATCAAATACTCGAGTCAATGCGTATGCTGGACCCTTGGAATTTCTATCGAGGCCCGTCCACCAGGTACACGAACGTAACCCATCGGAGCCCTTGGAGTCGAGCACTGAGCTCTCCATCGTCGCTCAGTAAAGCCTGGATCAAAGACGACGCAAGGCATCAGCGACAATCTGACACACCGGCACTCGAGCATGTCTCACACGTGATGCGGTTTGCGCAGCGGACAGTCGGCTTAGGCCATACGCCGCCCCGACAGTGACGACGCCCATCATCAGGTGAATGAACGACCCGATGCAAGCAATCGCATCGCGGGAATCAATCGCTTACCACTGCTCACCGCCGATCCCATGATGACGTTAGGCGTCGTGCAAAGAGGCTGGAGAGAGTGCCGTGGCCTGTCGTGGCGGGGGGATCGGCCACCCCTGACCCGGATGCATCACCGTCACCACCGACCTCAACACCACACCCAAAAATCGACGATGATGGCGTTGCAGTCCACGCCCGATCGTTGCCGTCTCGTCTCCTCAACCTCTTCCTCCAGACCTGATCAGACACGATGCATCTGCTCACATCCATTCACGTGCACAGGCCTTCCTTCACCTCATATCCTCATCGCGCCCCTCAGGAATGTGCCCCCGCGCTGCCTGTAGTAACACATTCCAGTCGGACATTGACCCAAGACCGCCTGTCACTGCCACGCCCGGCTCACACCCGTTCTTTGCGTAGCTGGGGCCAGCGCCTCGACAGAGGAGGGCCCTCCCCATACCTCTGCCAGATTTGTTGTGCTATTCTGGTCCAGAGCCTTATTACCCGCGATCGACCTACCCTCTCGCTCTTCCCACCATCTCGCGGCGATGCTCCCCTTTTTGCCTCCGCTACTAACCTTGTGCTCGCTCACAGCTTGATTCCCGCCAGCGCGGCGTCGTCCATTCGTTTTGTTTCTGACATCATTCGTTCTTTGTTTTTTTGTTACTGTCGAGTCCTCGATACTCGCATCACAATCGTTCTCCGCTCGCTTCACCGTCCGTCTTGTCACAGGAACCACCAGAATCCGCTTCGAAGAAGGGACAAAAGAGCAGTCACGATGCCCCCTCGAGTGGCAGCCCGAGAAGAGGGCGGCGGCGGCGGCGGCCTGACGGTAGGCTGGGTCCTCGCCATCGCCATTGCAGGCGGAGCCCTCCTGTTCGTATCTCTCGCCTTCATCCTCGTCACGCTCACGGATCGACGCAACCAACGCGCCCGCCTGGCGACCGAGTCCCAAGCCCGCCTGCAGCAGGATGATGACGTCTCCACCGAGACGGAAACGCATACCAAGGACGGCTCTATACGCCCGCCCCGACAGCGCCGCCGCCTGACGAAATCGCCACAGGTCTCGCCGCGCAAGAAGGTGAGGCGATCTCTGCCACACATCCTCCCTGCCATCAAACACAGCGGCAGCCTCAACATCTTCGGGTCGCCGGCGGGCCGTAAGAGGAAGAACTCGTGCAACTCTTGGATCGACGAGGATGCCATCCACGGGCCCAAGGTCGTCAAGGCGAAGCGAGAGTCCAAAGGGTTTAGTCTCCGGGAGAGCTGGCTCATCATGCGAACGCCTACGCTGCCCAACCTCCTCGGCTACCGTGACGAACCGGAAACCGCCATCTTCTATCAGCACCAGAATTATCCCCTCGTCAGCAGCCGCGGCCTGCCGCGCTCAGCCCCGAGAAGCACGTCCGGACGCAAGAAACCCACGTCAAGACTGCCTCTTGTCAGGACGGCGTCATATGAGATGTCCGAAAAGCGAAGCCGCCGCCTTGAGAAGGGGCTTCAGAAGCAGCAGCAATCCCA